GGCTGTGTTGTCTGTTTGCTGTAGCTATGTGGGCTGCAGGGTAGAAAAGAAGTAGCCTGGAGTAGTCAGATGAGGGAAGGTCCTCAAGGACAGCGGCTGGGTATGAGGGAAGCAACAGGTCTTCTATCCCTCTGCTCCCCTGAGCTGCCACTGCAGGGAAATTCTCCGGCTCCCCAAAGGGCTTGGTGACAAAGCAATGACAAGATGGTGGGTCTAGCAATAGCTGCTTGCTGCTGCCAGGTTTTTCTTGCAAGAAGGCTCTGCTGCTGACTGGGTCTTCTGCTGATGAAGCGACCTGACGATAGAGGAAGCCAACCTGCTGACAGGACGGCAGAGACCGGGGGTCTGACACTGATGCTGTCCCCAGCCATGTGAGCTCCCTCCAACGGACGCCCGCCCCAGAGCCCTAGTTCAGAGCTCTCCCACGATGCTGCCTAAGCTGTAGGTGGGGAAGAGAACTGGCACGGATGCCCTTGAAGGGCCAACCCGTCAGGTCTCTGTGAGCCACTGGGCCTCCAATGCTGTCAGGAACACCGGTGCAGCCTGGGGTCATTCCCCAGGACAGGGACTACTCACGCTTTGCAGTGCTGGGCTGGAGCTGCTGTGAGAGTGACCGTCGAGCACAGGCAGTGAGAGGTTGCAGAAGGAGATTCAGGAGGCTGCTGCACTGTGGCTGAAGGTGGAGTTTTGCCCAGGACAGGATGGAGATGGTGTGGCTGTGTATGGTGCTGATGCCCGTGAACTCATGAACCCGCACAAGAATGAGGCTGGGAGGAAGGTAAGGTCAGGAACAAGGGCTAGAAAGGAAGCCTGGCTTCACAGGCTTCTTCCTGGCTGGGTGGATCTCAGTCCAACTCCCCTACCCCAAGGAGCAGTTCGGGGCAGCCACAGGCTCACAGAGTGGGTCTGTGTCCTGCTGCCTTTCCTCAGCCCAGCACTGCATGGCTCCCACTGAGCTGGCTCCTTGCCTGTTCAGAGGAGGGGCCCAGCCTCCCCTACCCACCTCTGTGCAGAGTCCTTGTCCTCACTGACCCCATCTGTGATTTACTTTCCTTGGCCTGTTCTGCAAAGGAAATTGATTTCCCCATTCTGCTCTCAAGGGCTTCCCTTGCGCTCCAGTCCCTCCTGAGCAAAGAAACCATCCTCTTCAGGGGTCATTGTCAGATCTGGTCCCTTGAGCATCCTCTGGCTGTGGGCAGATCTATCCCTCTCCCCTCAGCCCCATGGATCAGAGCAGGTCCATGACTCTTCCCCTGCCTCAGGGATTTCTCTTACAGATCCAAGTTAGCCTGCTTCCCACAGAGTGGATCCCCTTCTGTTTCATATTGGCTCGTCTTAAAAAGACATTTTTGCCATTCTCCTCCCTTCTCTTCCTTTCTGCTGATCCTGCCCTCCAGCCCCTTGGGAGGTGTGGGGGGGAACCATGGCTTCTGGGGGGTCCCACAGGCATAGGAGGCGCACGGCAGGGTGTCCCAGGTCTACCTGTCAGCTGCCTCCTGCTCCTCAGGCTCTCCTGGCCCATACGAAGGTGGAGTGCAACTGCCATGGTGTGTCGGGCTCCTGTGAGGTGTGCACATGCTGGAAGGTCATGCCTGCCTTCTGCAAGGTGGGCAATGTCCTCAAGGAAAAGTTTGAGGGGGCAACAGAGGTTCACCCCAAGTGGGTCGGTTCCCACAAACTCCTGGTGCCCAAGAGCTCTCGCTTCAAGCCCTACACAGCTCATGACCTGGTCTACCTGTTGGCCAGCCCAGACTTCTGTGACTGGGACCCCTGGTGTGGGGTCTTTGGCGCCTCTGTCCAGTAGTGCAACCGGACATCGTTGGCCATGGACGGCTGTGAGCTCCTGTGCTGTGGCAGGGGCTTCCACACGGCACAGGAGGAGGTGGTGGAGCGGTGCAGCTGCAAGTTTCACTGGTGCTGCTCTGCCAAGTGCAAGCAGTGCTGGCACCTGGTGTGGTGGAGGTGCACAGCTGCCACCGAGGGGGAGCACACTGGGGTGGGGGGAGGCTTCCAGGGCACTGCAAGGAAGCTCGGGAGAGAACAGCCTGGGGAGAGACATGAGTAAGTGGGGGAAGGTGTGGGGGGGGGACACAGGCTGAGAGGGAACGGAGGAGACATGGAATTTTGCAGCCTTGCCGGAGAGCAGCCCCTGGCTCCAGGGGTGCCATCAGCCCCTGTGTGCTCGCCACATAGCACCATCTTGCCAGCCTCATTGAGCTTTGTATGGTTTGAATTATTTTTCTGTATGGAGGTTTGGAGGACACAGGTCTAATAGATGCTTAAACTTTAGAAATAAGCAGCTGCAATGGAAAGCAACGTGCATACGTCAGCTCCTATCTCATGCGTTGCATTTGGGACCTGGCAGGTATCTGGCTCTGCTGCCTCCTGTGGGCTTGGGCAGGGGAGGGGCAAGGCCACTCTGCAGTCCTCATGCTCAGTGGCTACATGGGCTGAAGCAAGTGACAAACACCAGAGAGAGGAGCAGGGGGGAGTGGGGCCCCACCTCAGACATGAGAGGGGTCACTGAGGGGTGTAATAGAGCAGCAGCCTCAGAGAGAAAGGAACAAATTAGATTCGCGGATTAATAGGCTCTTTATAAAACAATACTTGGGAGAACTACTGACACGTATAGGTCTGCAGGGGGAGGGAGGCATGAGATGGCTGGGGATTTCAGACAAGGACGCTTGGGCCAGTGGCTCTAAATCCAGGTTCCCAGGGTTGATGCCTTCTGTGATGCTCAGCTGCTCCTTTGGCTGGAGAAAATTATTTCAGGAGGAGTTCCAGCAAGTGCCACACTGAAATGCTGTTGAGTGAGGCTCCCTTCATGATGTACTGCTGTTGCTGGCACAGAGCAGGTGCTCGAAGGGTGAGATCTGGCCATGATGAGCTAACTGGACAGCAAGGGGTCTGGGAAGAGCCGTCCAAGTCTATCCAGACTCTCTGCGCCACCAGAGCCCCAGAGAGCCTGCTCTGGAGCCCTCCATGCGTCCCCCCCCCGCTACCGTGCATCACCCTTTGCTGAGGCTGAGGAACCTCTGGTGCCACAGCGACACCTCCTCCTGTCCTTCCTTCTCAGTCAGCACCCGGTGTGTCTCATTTTTGCGGCAGCTGCGGCGAGACACCTGCAAGGAGAGCCCGAGTTCATGGACTCATACCACTGCCCATCCTTCGCCCAAGGAAAGAGGACCCCCATGAAGGACATCATCTGGAGGCTGGGTTGGTGGGAACACCAAAGGGAAGAGGAAAGAACCAGCTGTGAAGTTGGAGGGAGAGGATGACAGCTAAACTGTGTGTTTCCTAAGATAAGGGCTAGTCCTCTGTCTAGCTGTGGTACTTTTGTTTTTTGTTACCACCTGGGAAGCACCCAGTAGAGGGGGGAGACGCTCCCGTGCAGGGATATACAAGGATACCCCAATGGGTGGGAGGCTCCCCACAGCTCCTCAGCCTAAATGTTAGTGGCTGTCTCTGGCTGCCATCTCTTAGAGCATCTGTGCAAATCCCACAGCCTCCATTACGTGCCAGCTGTGCTTGGGTCACTGTTTGTCACCTCCTGCAACCACACCTAATTCTGTCTTACCGAAGGGAAAAAGAGTGGGCCAGTGAGTCCTGCAGGGAGTTGGGGCTGGCTGTGGGGGGACCAGCCATGGAGGAGAAGGCTGTATAAAAGGCAGTGCAGGCTGCTTCTCACCCTCTGATTGTAGAGGCTCTGCTGGAGGCACTGGTGGCTCTTGAACATGCAGTAGTTGGGATGCTGAAGTCCATCTGAGTCGCAGATCTGAGGAGATGGGAATCAAGGCCAGAGAAAGAAGAGAAGAAGGAAGGATGGGAGAATCCTTTGGGCACCCACCTGGCTTGGGGCATGTCCATCATCTTGGAAGGCAGCGTACTCTGCTTTCAGCCAGAGGGTCACACGAGGGTCCTCACAGCCACGGATAGCTATCCGGCTGCACCAGTATTCCACCCTCAGCCTTCTGAAAACCTCCACGCTGTGGTACTCTGAGGACTCTGGGGAGGTAGTCTGCAAAGTGGTGCGATAAAGAAAGCCATGCTTCTTCCTCCCCCTTCCCACACCCAGTCCAGGCTCCTCCTCAGAGGCCAGCAGGACATGCAGCATGCTCAATACCTTGTTGCCTGCAGCCTGGTGCTGGGTTGAGATCTGAGGGTTGATGTAGTTGATGAAGCTGCCTGTGTTGCAGTGAACACGGTTTAGGTTTTTGATGTTCTGACACTGCTCCCTCTTCAGTGAGCAGAAAGCACAGTTAGGGCACAGGTCCATGTGCTGCCGCCCAAAGCTGTCGCACACCTAGAGTGGATGCAGCAGGGAGGTCAGGAGGGAAAAAGGAGATTGAGGACCTTCCATATTCCTGGCTTGGAGCTTGCCTCCCTGGTCATCCAGGTCAGCTTCTCCCGCAAGGTGGCACCTGAAAGGACAGTGCTGACAAGCTCTAGCTGCTGGAGCTTTGTGGTCAGCACTTCAGGGAGCCCTGCACACAGTGGGGGTCAAAGGTGGACATCAGTGGCTTTACCGAATCTCCAAACCCAAGGACTCTTCCTTCCATCTCCTTCCAGGCCTCAGTGACTGCTAATGAAAGGCAGCTTCCCTCCAGCACTGCATAGCACAGGATTGTCATTGCCTCCTCCTTCTTCAAGGCTGAAAGACTGGGAGATAAAGAGATGGAAGAAGTCAAGTCTTATCTCTCATCACAAGCTGAAGAGATAGACCTCTAGTTAAAAACTGAAAGGCGAAAAACAACCCCAAAGCATAGCAAAAAGCCCCTTCTCAAAGAAACCTTGGACTCTTGGCCAAACTACACAGAGGAACAGGGGTATCTGCTAAGTCTGTACGTGCCTGTGTGACATGGAGGCTCTAGGGGTGTGTGTGCATTTGGGAGCATATGAGAGGGACTGGAGAATGAACACAGCTTGAAGAACTTTCCCAGGGGCCCTGCAGCAACTGCTGCCTAGTTTTGTCTATCTGAGTGCACAGCAAGATGTTTGTTAGAGGTCCTCCGAGTGCTGACCACGGGACAGCCCCATTTGGGTCTGGAGTATGTAGCTTAAATTTATCCTCCCTCCTGCTTGAGCCAATGTATTTGACAGAAAGGGGAAGAACTGGTAACAATTAGTTAACTGTTCATCCAAACCGACATGGGAAGCTAAAGGTAGAATATTTAAGGACAGTGGGATAAGGACAATAAGAACATTTTGCATCTCTTAGGAACAGTAGAAATGGTAGATACGGTACAGAACTCTTACTAGACAGGGATGGTGTCAATTATCAGCAATGATGCAGAAGAGGTAAAAATGCTCATTAAATATTTGTCTTCTGTGTCTGGAAACAAAACCAGTGATAAATAAACAAATTTTGATCTGGCAGAGAATAAGAAGAAGCTAAGAGCAGCAATTGCTTGTGTTAAAATGCTCTTAAAATCCATGCATGGGCTAACCTGTATGGAGAAGTTTTCTAAGAGTAGTTGAAACTTCTCGGAGACCTTCAGATTAGCATTAAAAAAAATAATAAAGAGGTGGAGAACCTGGAGGAAGGTCATGAAGATGAGATTTACTAAGGACTGGAAAACTTTCACCTAGACTGAGAGGCTAAAAAAGCTTTACTTAGCTGAGCAAAGACACTAGTGGGCGGCTACTCAGTCAGTCAGTCCTTTTACCAAGGTGGGAATCAGCTGGAAGGCTCTCTTCATCAGCAGATGGAAGAATAATGACTTTTGATGACTGGAATTTGGGGTGAGATCCATTCAAACTGGAGATAAGCTGCATGCTCTTGACACAAAGGGTATTTAGCATAGGAGCAGCTGATGGAGCAGTTTCTCCACGGCTTGGAGACTTCAAAAAGATATCCCAAATTTCTTTTAGGAGAGGGGTCTGTAGCTCAGCCACATGACACTCTTTTTCTTTCAGAGCTCACCAGGCACGGCTCCAAGTCGTGTGCTGAGCAGGAAGGCCAGGGTGAGTGATCAGAGCAATTGCCGGGCCTGAAGGCTAAAAGAGATCAACCTCCCCACTGTTCAGCTCTTGTGAATACATGGTGTGTAAAGAAATCAAGCTGTAAGGAATAACTGGTGTTCCCAGATCCGTGGGCATGTGAGAGGCATACACCGTATGCACAGGGACACACGGATGCTTGGCATTTACACTGGGTTTGGATGTGCACTCCCAGGAGAATATGTGTGAGCACTAGGGCTACTAATAGGAAGAAGTTTTGTCCACCTCCTTAATAGATCCCTGGGCCCTGCCACACACTGTGGATGAAGGAGGAGCTCACAACATGTGCCCTGCACTTGCAGCAGGTCAGAAACAAGTGATTCTGTACCCAAACAGTTCACACTAACCAGCAGCAAATGAGCAGGCTGGGATCTCTGAAGGCATCTCTCACTTAGATACTACAAGAGAATCTGGAAAATATTACTCATAGAAAATATCATGAGTGCTAGATTTTTTTTAAAAGACATTACAGTCAAATTTGTTTTATCACAGTGCAGCAGATGCTGCTCTAGCCTGCACTGAGGCAAACGAAGATGTTCCTTCAACACATTGTTCTGTACTGTGCTGTGGACAGGCTGCAAATGGTATTCTGTGGATACAGATGTGAATAAATTACTGTGGCGCTGACCCATAGCACAACCACATCCTCTGAAAAACCAAGGACAGCTGAAAACCTGGAAATCTATGTCTTGCAAACCTGTGCATCTCTTACTGCAATGCACCACATTGTGACCAACCTGGTCAGAGGTTTGTGGAGGGAAGGTCTGAGTTAAGAGATGACAAAAGAATGCAAACTGAGGGCAGTAGTGACAGATACCAACTCTTTCAGGCAAAACTAGAAAGAACTAAAATGTGCCAGTAAAAAAGAGAAACAAAGCCCACCTATCCTGCAGACAGCACTCCCAGAACCGCTAAGATCCTTTATGTCCACTCCTCAATCCCATGACTCCATGTGGTCCTTTTTATTTTTGGTTTTGTTTTTTTTTTTTTTTAGTTTCCTCTGTAAACATTTAGACCATTTAAGACACCAAGAAGAACAGGAAATTTTAAATTTAGAGCGAATAGTCTGTGCTCATCTCACTTGAAAATCTTGCCTAAGTTGTTCAATTCAACCCTCTCAGCATTTTTCTGTGACTGTGTCCTGCTTTTGTCTGGGACAGAGTTAACTTTCCATGACAGACTGGAAGCTGTCAATGCTGAGAAGAAACAGTGACAGCCCCTAAGGACAGCCTCTAGCATTTATCTTCCGTAAAGGATTGCTCTTTGTGGGGAGACTACCTAACACTGACAATTTCTCTCTTAAGCAGTTGTAGCCCAGGAGAACAAGTGTTCCATCCACTTTGCTGATAAATCTGTGACAGCCGAAGGGAGTCCCTGCCACCACTTGGATGCTTGACTGCTTTGGCACAGTTCGATCTTCACCTTCAAGATTTGGTAAACTGGCTGGGTCATCTTGATGGGACTCACAAATTTCTATTAATGACCCTGTTATTACGCTCCAAACTTATTCTGAAATAATTTATCCACAAACATGTCATTATTGGCTATTGTTCCACTACTTGCTTGTTATTCCAGTGGCACATTGTGCTTTGATTGCTTCTTCATCACACCAGGATGATTAAGCCAGTAACGTGAGAGACATATTACCAGTCATTAGAAATGATATTAATAGCTCTGGTGTTTTCATCACTGAGGTAGATAGAAGAAGAAAACTGTCCAGCTTGCTGTACTTTTTTTAAAAATAGCAAATAAACAACAACCTGAGGCTTAGCAAGCAACTGCTAATAAGTGGGTTTAACAGATTTTGCTTTCTCCAACACACATACTAGTCCAACAAGTGCAGCCCCAACAAGATGCAGACAGAGGGTTACAGGCAAAAGGAGCAGTAAAAGGGAACTTGTCTCCAGCCTTTTCTAAAAAGGTTGCTTCCATAAGTAGCTCATAAGTAGCGATAAAACATCTGCTGACTGTTGATGACCTACTTATTCAGAACAGATGCAAAGTCAGACATGGGTAGGAGCCTTTGCTGCACGGCCAACTTCAGATTTATAGACCATATTCTATATAATTGGCTCACACAGATCAGAAAACCTTGTGTCCCTTTGCACCACCTACCAACACATTGCTGTTGGCCATGTATGCAGATGCATGTGAATTGTGTCCATAACATCCACTCACCCACCCAGGAAACCGAGTTGTGCCACCAGCCTGAAGTTACTAAGAAATTCTGTTGCGCTCTCTGTCACATCCATTTCCTTCTCTCTCTCTGTTCTCTGTCTCTGCTGTGAGGTTTCTGGCCTTAGGGTTGCAAATTTATGCATTGGTTTACCACCTCTGGGTGAGTGAGATACATCTACATCATCCCCAAGTGACAGGTAGCTCCTGAAAGCAACTGAGAGTTGTTAGGGGAATGTCTCACCCCACATCACCAGACCCAGGGATGGGTTCTGGGCTCCTCCTTGCTTGCGGGCACCTGCAATGCACAATGCCGTGGTGCTAGGTGCACCCAGGGGCTGTCCCTGGTTCCTCTCCTCGTGATGCCCTGTGCCCTGGCACTGCTCTTTGGCGTATCCAGACACTCTCCCACTGCCTTATGGCAGCACTGGGGCTTTGAGTCCCATCACAGAGGCATCATGGGCAAACGGTGCGGACCCGGGACAGCACTGCTGCTGGTCCCCTGCATTTGTTGACATGCTGTTGTGTTGTTTGTGGATGTGCAGAATATCTGTGGATCAGGGAAACTGTTAGGTCTGTCAAAAGCTTTGTACCTCTGCACATTAATGTCCTAACTTCTGCCCTGGAAAAAGCCTAACAGGTACTGGGAGGCAATGTTTCAAAGGGAATGTGAAAAAATGAAATTAGGAAGAATCTGTGGGCCAAGATCAGTGATTTCTCAAAGGCAAAAAGATAAAGCTTTGGACAAAAGCCTATCTTGCTTTAGCATCTCAAGACATGGAGCGACACACACAGAGCCTTCTTTATCAGGGTCTCTGAATAGGGCTGGTTAACAACATCCACCTCTCCCTCAACATAATGACAAGGATTTGGGCCATTAACTTTCATCTGCCAGACCTCCCCGATATTGTCTGGCTGTGAGATGGAGTGAATACCTGAGGCAAGCAGAAAGGAAGATAAAGAGCAAACAGCAGCTTTCCAGCACTTTGTAACTTCTGATTTAGGGAGGTTGCTACAGGAAACTAAAACCACTAAGGAGAAAGCCATTCTTAACAGCTTCAGAAAGAAAAAGAGAAGTCAGGCAGACCAGCTAGGTAACTGACAAGACAAACCCAGCAGGTAACCCAACACAGGATCCACGGGGAGAACAGGAACGTAAACGCGTGCCCAAGGGTTGGGGGGCACAAAGCATGGGAAAAACTGTGTTTTGTAGATGCATCTCTCCTGCTGACCCACACGATATTGCAGCCTTTTATCTCTGCCCCTCCTGGGACACTGAGAGCCCCCTGCTTTGAGAGTCCCAAAAGTCTGGAGCATTTGAACTTCTGGCCTGGTGGAGAGAAGACAACCTGCCCTGTCACGACTCCTCTTCCACAGCTAGCCACTCACAGTAGCAATACAGAGACACTAAATTGGGCCCTGGCCTTACTGAACAGCCAGAAGAGATACATCTGCATCATCCCCAAGTGACAGATAGTTCCTGAAAGCCTCTAAGAAATGTCAGGGGAATGGGTCCCATCCCCCACCATCAGACCCAGGGTAAAAAAGAAAAAGTAATTGCTAATGGGTGATGATAATTCAAAGCGAGTGTTTTTCTGGGGATGGTATTTGTAATGAAGGGTCTGGGCTTCAAATGCAAGCTGCCAGGGATGAAGTATGTAGGCACCATGAGGACTGTTTGGAGAGGTACAGCAGGAGTACGAGTGTGTAGCTGCCTGGAGGGCTCGGCTCAGCCTTTCTGGGGAAGCTGGGCTCACAGGAAGTGTAAGCACCTGTGTGCAAGGACAGGGTCTGTACCCGGGACAGCTATGATGCTGAAAGGGGTGTAGGGTTCATAGCAGGCAAAAAAAACGCAACAGTGGGAAGCCCTGGGAAAAAGAGAAATGCAATTCTGGTGTTCAAAAAGAAGAGCAGGGAAGGGAAGGTAGGTTGACCTTCTTCTGCACACCCAGCTGCTAAAACCCGTCCCTCAATGGTGCCCGCAGAGCTGGAGTGTGTGGATGTTTTAAAGGGACACTGAAAATTGCCACAGAAAATTAGAGTTGCCTGGGATCTATAATGCAAGACCTACAGAGCTGTTTTTAGCTTATTGCAAGATTGAATCATAGTATATAGGTAACTTTGAGGAGAGAAAATACTGGGAAATTAATAGCTCTCTAATCGTGGGGCAGAAAGCACAATAAAGACTGAAAATTGAAAATAAGTGCAATAAGAGACATTTTTGCCTCCCATGATGATTCACTGCTAGCAGAAAGACCACAAAAGCATGCTGAAATTCTTCACTGTGCCTCTAAAGGTCACAGGTAGCTTCATCAGGTACCATGAAAGCTGGTAGAGCTACCAGAGAAGCTGCCACAAGCAGGGGTGAGTGAGAAAAGATGAATGTCCTGCTGGACATAAGACCCTAAGGTAGACACTCAGCCCTGGATTTGGTGCCCATCACAACTGTGTGCACCTTGTGTTAAACCCGATGCTGAAAGGCACCTGTGCACACCAACCAGTCCCACCCAGCACTGCTCCTCCTGCTGGAATGAAAATGCCTCAAAGCATTTTGTCCCTTTTTTAGGTCATGCTTTGAAGTCCCTTTGAGACAAGGCGTGATGTGGTGAGCAGCAAAGCCGACAGGCGAAGTCTATCTCACCTTTTTATCCTCACTTGAGTTAAAGCTTTGCTTAGCATGATTGATGGGAATTGGCTGTCGGGTTACAGACACAAGTCAGCATTAGTGTCTTTGAGAAACTCTGCAGCAGAATAGCGAGTGTCATCCGCAATCACAGCAGTCCCTCAATAATCCCAAAATAACTACATCACAGCAAGGCTCAGCTTCAGAGGCAGGGAAAACGAATACATCCTCAGAGAAACATAGTTTCGCCCTAGAGTACACAGCACCAGGAGAAATTTGCCAGGCAGTAAAAGGCTCCCACAGTATTAGGAAGGAGGATGACATAAGTTACAGCCTTGCAAGGGAATATTTACAGCTTTAAAAACACAATGCAATTCATTTTTACATACAGATGTGGGATCTCTGGCTCAACTGTAGTAGTACTTTGCAGCAGTGTTTTGAATAGAAACCAGAGATGTGCAATCATGCACAAAACGTGTGCGCTTACAGGAACATCACTGGCCAGCAACCGAGTGAAACCAAAATGACTTCTCCATGAAAACCACATCTAGACAGCATTTTTTTTTTTTTGCTTTCGGCAAGCAAAATAGTCTTTGCATCTCAGTCAAAGCAAGAGGTCTTTATAGCCACAAAATACTAAAGGATCAAAAAGTAAATTTGAGTGAAAACATGTGATTCTTTTACAGGTCTTTTCTGTTTGGGCTCACCAGTCCCAGCTGCCTGAGCACAGAGGCGAATGGATCCTGGCAGATCAGCTGAGAAGAGCTCAAGATGCTCAACAAGCTCCTAAAGTATCCCTTGGCCAGAGGAACTAAGAAGGGCATGTAAAAGGATTGCAGCACGCTGGACTGTCACAGGGCCCTGTGCAGAACTGGCATGCAGCTGCTTTCAAAGCCAAAACAGGGAACCAGAAACCCTTTAGGAAGAGCAATGCACAGATTCAACGTGCAGAGAGGTGCATGTGCTCCAGGAGAAGAAGTGGTCCTGCACATTCAGGAGCAAGGCTCCGTGCTCCCAGCTCTTGTTTTCTAGCCCAGGGTTGCTTTTGCTCTACCGGGGTGCATATGGAGCACCCCTTGGAGCTCTCCTCAGGTCAGACTGTTTTAAGAAATGTCTGCTTCATGTTGCATGCAGAGAGGCAAGGAGCACAGGGAGACACGTGTTTACTCCAGTGTCCGAGGACCTGCGTTTGCAAGGAAGCTATTTCTGCATGTCATCCAGACTCCTGGGAGACATGAGCTGGGAGGAGGATGAGTGCAGAGGTGATTGCACACTGCAGATGGTCACAGTGTGGGGATACACATGCATGGGATAAAGCCCTGCTTGCAGCTAAAGCCCAGCCTAACTACACTTTGCTCAGGATGCAAAGACAGTAACATCCTTAAGCGCTAGCAGTGCTGGGTCACCCTCTCCCTGCTCACTCTGTGCTGGAGCGGGGAGTGTCTGACGGGCACCTCAGGTACATTTCTGCTCTATTATGGGACAGCTTGCTCCAGAAAGCCTGCCTGCGCTTACCAGCTGCTCAGGGTAGGGGCATGAACCAGCCTGTGCACATAAGGACAGCCCTGCACAGGTGGCATGCTGTACCCCGCCAACTGGGGAGACAGGTTTTCCCCTCCCCTGCCACGAGTGGCTGCTTTCTGTACCTCCTCCTTGGTGCTGTGCGACGTGTGACCTAGCCTTGGGTCTAACTTGGTGCTGGGGTTCAGAGAAGAGCTCTTGGGGACCAAGGATGTCTCCAAAGAGAGGGCCACGTGGATCAGCTGCCAGACGCTCCTCTGCAGGCGTTGCTCCCAGGCTTCCTCTGCCTGGGCAGGGGATTCCAGACTGGGAGGCAAGGTGGGAGGGGCAGCTGGGACCAGCAAGGTCGGTGCGAGCACAGGCGGCCTCCAGTCCTGCAGAGGTCTCAGCTCCACTGGTGTGGCTGGGGAGAGCTTCCCGGGCAGCAGTTGCTGACTTGACAGTGCGTAGGAGTATTTGAGGAGATCATCCACACTGGCACGCAGCAGGGCATCAGCAGGCGAGAGGAAAGCCTGCCCTGGAGCTGGGGAGAGAGCAGGAAGGAGAAGCTGAGGGCACTTTCCTGAGGCCAGCCAGAAAGCTGCTGCAGGGGAAGAGTAGCTACGGGAGATCAGCAGGCACACAGGGATGCCCAGTGCAGCTTGGTGCAGCCATACCTTCTTCCATAGGGGAGCTTTTGTCCCTTGCCCAGGAGTCCACAGCATGAGGTTGCTCCATCATGGGAAGGTTTTTTGGAGGAGACAAACTCTGACATGGCATTCTCTGAGCGGAGGATAGAGGGAGAAACATGAGTCCCACCGTGTCATCTTCCCTTCCTCATCCCTTCCATCTCCCAAGAGATACTCCCCCCCTGCCCCATCCCAAATCCTGCTCCCCACCTTGGTGTAGAACTGGCGTTTGAAGCAGCGGTACTGGGAGAACTGGCAGAAGGTCTGAAACCACGGTGCCTCCGGGAAGTTAGAACAGACTGGCCCTGGAGAGGGGTGGGAGAGAGATGCAGCGTGGGGGGCAGGCCACAGGTTTAGGCATCTGCCCCCTTGGCCTGCCTGGACTCAACAAGAGCTGGGGACCTCTCAGATAGCTGTTTTCAGAGTGGCTTGTGGTTGAAAGGAAAGTCAAAGCTGTCTGCCCCCACGTGGAGACTACAGCCTTGTGCTGTTATAGCTCTGGATCCCAGGTGCCACGTGCACTTTCCCTCCAAACCACCCAAGGTTTCAGTTTGCTCTTCTACTAGTTTTCACACAGTTATCTCCCCTTTTACAGAAACCCAAATCTCCTCTTTTCAGGATCTGATAAGGACTTTGTTATTAGTCCTTGAAGGGTTTATGAAAAGAAAAAAAAGGTAAGTAGTGATATGATGGGTTAAAAAGATGACCAGATCAGGCCTGGGAACACCAGAGGAGACAATCTCTTCAGGGCAAAATAGTTTGACATTGATACAGCTGTGCAGGGCATGGAGGAAAGTCCACAGGGCCAAGATGCTGCTGGCAAAGCCTTTGCCTGTATGCACATGTACCATAGCCTTGACCAGCACAGCCAACACTACTGGCTCAAGAGCTGCAGTTCTTCTTGCAGTGATTGCAGGGTAGCTGAGGTCATGCAGGAGACCCTAAAACTCTGGGAGATTTGGGGAGGGGGTAATCTTGTGCTCCCTCTGCTCTATGAGTGCACGGCCCAACTAACACAGCCAGCCCTTTGCACATACTTAAAGGGTCAAGTGCTGGCTGAGATGCAAGAAGTTAGCAGTGCTCTCCTGTTAGTTGTTTGTACACCACCTTTTACACTGTACACACTTTTCTTGTGCTGGGCATATGGATTCACCAGCAAAAGCAGAGTTTCAGGTATCCACCAGGATTCCAGCCCAGAGAAATACCTAACTTGTAGGGGGCATGCCAGATACCCACCCTGTCCTTTGGCGATGCCCTACGAAATCCCTCCAGGACATGGGGGACACAGCCTCAGCCAGTGCGATCCCCATACACATAGACTGGGAGCTGCAGAGCATCACACAGCCACTCACAAAGGAGCATTGCTGCCATTGAGCAGGGGAGGAAGCCCAACCATTTGCTAGCCCTAGTGTTAGCCTGGGTCTCCTGGGCCAGGACTGCAGCCCCAGCAGTACATACTAGGCCAGGCTTGGAGTATTACAGCTTGCTGTGTCCTGTCACAAACCATTCCTATGATGATACAGAAACTTTCCATTTTGGTGTGGGGAGAGAAGACAAGTACATTTTCATTCCATTGTCTGTGAAGTGAAGGAAAACTTGACACAGATAAAGTTTCCTGTGGGCTCTCTTCACTTCACCGTGGCTCAGTGCTCCCACAGCCTGCTGAGTGCTTATGGCATTGCCTGATGACCAATTTGCCTCCTTTAGCACTGATCTCCATCTCCTCTTTTCTCTCAGCTCATCTCTCCCATGGAAATATTTGTCTCTTGTTGAATCCTCTGACTGTCCTGACAAGGGGAGCCCTTCCCAGCACCAGCTGCTTAGTTTAATCAATATGACCTTTTGCCTCTTTCCTCTGCTCCTCGTGCCTGTGTGTTTGCTGCAAACAGCCATAGCTTCTGCTGAGTGTCAGGAAGCCACCCCCTTGGGATTCATGGCCAACTCCACCCACAGGAGCTCCCAGAACGGAGGCGGTGGGGGCAATTAATTAACAATTGCATCATCACTAAAAGATGGAACCAGACAAGATATTTGTATACACTTATCAGGAAACATCCTCCTGACTCTTATCTTCCACAACAAAGAGCGTTGAAAGGCTACGTGTAGGCTTCCTTGTTTAAAATGCAAGGTAACTAACTGCCTTTCTTAGCACCACACCTGAAGAGGCACAATTAATGCTCATGATAGTTTGGACATAGCACCATCATTTATCAATGAGGACAGTAGAGACAAAAGATGTGAGGGCACATGCTCTTCCATATCCCATGGCCTTTCATCCTGGCCACAACCTGTGCCAAAATAGCCCCAAAACTCGAAGAAAGGGAACATGGAGGGGAATAAAGTCTGCTGGATGGGTTTGTTGGGCTGAGGGATGGAGGAGAAGAAGGTAAAGACGGCATCCTACAAAATTGTCCCATCTCTGGGAATTCCCATATGCTCCTGCTCTTGGCAGCTGAGCCTCTGAAGGCAGCAGCAGTGGGAGAGTGGCTGGATATGCCAAAGAGCAGTGCCAGGGCACTGGGCATCACCAGGAGAGGAACCAGGGATAGACTCTGGGTGCACCTACTGCCGTGGCATCATGGGTTGCAGGTACCCACAAGTGAGGGAGGAGCCCATGACCCATCCCTGGGTCTGGTGATGTGGGGTGGGACCCATTCCCCCGACACAGCTGCAGAAACAAGCAAGAAATAGTTGCCCTCAAGCTGCAGTCTAAATAAGCACAGTTGGCTGATCATTCAGTTCATTGACGTTCATAGCTAAATATAAAGACATATTTTTTATCAGAAAATTGTTCCTATTTTATTTCCTCTGAAGAAAAATACAACAGAAGTAGTCCCAAGTTTTTCAGCTGCACAGATATAATTATGCCACTTAAATTCTCTGATGCAGGGGTGCAGGGAAAGTATGACTGCAGAGATTTAAAGGGTGCTGTTGCTATGGTGCTTTCTGAACTGGGATGTTTCTTAGCTCCTGAAATGTTAAGCACTTTAAAAAAGCAGCTTATCAGCTCAAGCTTTCTTAAAGGTCCATGAGAGCCCGTAAGACAAGCTTCTGCATTAAACCCCAGATCAAGCTAGAAGGAGCCGGTCAGGTTGTAAGAGGAACTGTTGGGAAGAGACGATGAGCTTCAGAGAGCTCCAGAAAACTGTGACCAGTTTTTTCCCCGTGCCACCCACCAGTGGAGAGGTGGAGAAACTGTATAGCTCAGTGAAGGGCCACTGAAGTGGCCATGGCTTTCAGCCAGGTCATTGTGAAGAGAGGTTGGGCAGCTGTGCTTGTTCATCTGGGTGAAGAGAAGATAGGGAGGTGAGTTAACTGCAGCCCACAAGGACCTGAAAGCAAGCTACAAGATGATAGAATCAAACTTTTCTTGGTGGTGTCAGACAACACAAGAGGGAAAACAAAAAAAAAATTCCTGCTTGGGAGGTTAGGACTGGCCATTAGGAAAAGTTTTTTTTTTTCTCCAGAAAAAGGGTGCAGCACTGGAAGGGGTGCCCAGCAGAGAGGCCACAAAACAAAACTCCCTTGCACAAAGTTAAGGTGCACTAGTGCTGGGACTGTTCTGCTCCTAGCTGGACTTTGGGCTAGAGACCCCAAAACAACCCATCCCACACCATTCCCACAATCTTGTGGCATTTCAGGGCAGAAAAAAAGCCGGCACTGCTCCAGCTGGGGCGAAACCCACCGCTGTCCCTGGACGTGGTGCCCCTACCTTTGGGGATACGGCCATGGTTCTCCTCCCGGTCCAGCTGCAGGATGGCAGGGCTGAGGCAGCCACGTGCCTGGCGCAGCTGGCAGGTCAGGTCTGCCTTCCAGTAGGGCTGCAGGACGGCAAAGAAGATCTGGTACTCTCTGTCTGACAGAGGGCTGCCTGGAGCAGGAGGCACCGGTGGAGCAGCAGAAAACATCAGCCAGGCCAGCAGCCCTGAGGGAGAAAGGAGGCTGCTCTTAACCCTCCTTAATGGGGGCAAGAGGTGGGTAGAAATAAAAGAGCGGCTGTCAGGGCAGCCAGCTCCTGTCTGCTGGTGCTGAGCAGGTTTGCTGGGATGAGCTGGCCTGAGGTCTCCCTCCATCACCCTTGCTTGCAGGGCTGAGGGGGAACCAGGAGCGCTGGGGGAAAAAGAATGAAAAAGAAGGAAAAAGGGGGAAAAAAAGAAAGGAAGAAGAAAATAAAAAAGAATGAAGAAAAAAGAGAAAATAAAAAAGAAAAAGGAGAAAAAAAATTAAAAATAAAAATAAGAAAAT